GCGGAGTCCCGGGCGGAGGGGGAGGAGGAGGGATGAGGGAGGCGGGAGACGGGAGGAGGAGTGAGGATGGAGGAGTGAGGAGGGAGGAGGAGGAGGCAGGAGGCGGAGGAGGGAGGAGTTGGGAGGGAGGGGGGAGGGAGGAGGGAGGATGGAGGAGGGAGGAAGGGAGGAGGAAGGAGGGAGGAGGGAGGAGGGAGCAGGGAGGAGGAGCAGGAGGAGGAGGAGGTGGAGGAGGAGGAGGAGGAGGGAGGAGGAGGAGGAGCAGGAGGAGGAGGTGCATGAAGAGGGGCAGGAGGACCAGTGTAAACCCAAGACCCATCAACGATGTTGGAATAAACCCTTCCTCCAAGTTCCCTCTTCACAGGCCCCTACAAGTTGTATTTTTCACTGAGGACACTGGCCAATGGGGAGACGATCGTTTTGAATATCCAGAAGCGTACCAAAACACTATCCTCGGGACCCCAATGCCACGAATCAACCTGACTGTTGCGTCTTCATGATCCTGAATCGTGTCGGAACACTGCGCCATGGCAGTCCTGAACCGTTTCAAGCCATCTTTCTGGCACGTTGGCCATGGGACCCATGAAACTCTTGCAACGGTGTAAGACGGATGTGCGCGGTGACGAGAGCCATACTCTGATAACCACCCGCCTTCAATCCGTGAAACTCTTGCAGCACATTTTTTTATAACGAATGTGCGCGGCGCTAAGGCGGGAGCCACACTTTGATCACCACCCGCCCTCCATCCGTGAAGCTCTCGCAGTAGCGAATGTGCACGACGCTTAGGCGAGAGTCACATGTTGAAAACGGCCCGCCCTCCATCCGTGAAGCTCTTGCATTTTTGCAAGGCGAATGTGCGCGGCGCTAAGGCGAGAGCCACATTTTGAACACGAGCCGCCCTCCATCAGTGAACATGTTGTAAGATTTAAGCCTCAGGGTCATATATTGTGAGGAACTCTCAGGCGAAAAGCCCAGCCTGCCCTTGTAACCGGCCTCGGGTGGCGACAGGGGTGAGTTATGATTAAGGAAAAGGAAAAGGAATGGAGGGAGGATGGATGATGATGCTGCTGATGATGGGGATGATGATGATGATGCTGATGATGATGATGATGATGATGATGATGATGAGGAGGAGGAGGAGGAGGAGGACGAGACGAGGGATGATGATGATGCTGATGATGATGATGCTGATGATGCTGATTATGATGATGCCGATAATGATGATGATGAGGAGGAGGAGGACGATGAGGAGGGGGAGGAGGAGGAGGAGGAGGAGGAGGAGAAGGGATGACGAGGAAGGATGATGACGATGATGATGCTGCTGATGATGCTGATACTGATGCTGATGATGAGAATGGCGATGATGGTGCTGATGATGATGATGATGATGATGATGATGATGATGACGCTGATGATGATGCTGGTGATGGCGATGACGATGATGCTGATGCTGCTGATGGTGATGCTGCTGATGATGATGATTATGCTGATGCTGATGCTAATGCTGATGCTCATGATGGTGATTCCATTGCTGGTGATGATTGTGACGATGCTTATGATAGTGTTGATGATGATGAGGATGACGATGATGCTGCTGATGGTTATGACGATGCTGATGCTGATGATGCTGATTATGATTATGATGAGGGTGATGACGATACAGGTGGTGGTGATGCTGATGATGATGCTGCTGATGCTGATGCTGATGATGCTGATGATGACGATGCTGCTTATGATGCTAATGCTGCTGCTGTTGATGACGATGGTTATGATACTGATGCTGTTGCTGATGATGATGATGTTAACGATGATGACGCTGCTGATGCTGATGATGATGCTTATTGATGATGATGCTGATGATGATGATGCGTGGCGGATCAACCTGACTGTTGCGTGTTGATGATTCAGAACCGTGCCAGAACGCCTTTCCTAGAACTTCGGCACAACGAATCAACGTAATCGTTGTGCCCGCGTAGTTTATAATCCTTTTAAAACACAATGGTGATGGGGATCCGTGCAGCGCTTGCAATTTTTGAAAACAAAGGTTCGCGGCGCTAAGGCGAGAGCCACGTTTGAAAGGAACCGCCCTCAACCCGTGAATTCCTTACACATATTGCAAGCGAGTGTGCGCCGCGCTAAGGCGAGAGCCCCTTTTTTGAAAACCACCCGCCTTCAGTCCGTGTCATTCTTGTAATTTTTTAGGAGGAATGTGCGGCGCGCTAAGGTGAGAGCCATATGTTGAAAGCGACTCGCTCTCACTCCGTGAAGCTCTGGCACATTTTTACTTCGAATGTGCGCCGAGTGAAGGCGAGACCCACATTTCGAACCGCCCTCCATCTGTGAAACCGTTGTCATTCTTTGAGCTTCAGAGTCATCAGTGATGAGGAAGTCTCAGGCGAAACGCCTGGCACGCCCTAGCAATTGGCCTCGGGATACGACAGGGAGCAGTTTTTTATATGGAAAAGAGGAGGAAGAGGAGGAGGAGGAGGAGGAGGAGGAGGAGGAGGAGGAGGAGGAGGAGGAGGAGGCGAGGAGGAGGAGGAGAGGAGAGGAGGAAGGAATGGAGGAGGGAGGAGGAACGGAGTGAGGAGGGAAGGAGAGGAGGAGAGGAGGAGGAGGAGGAGGAGGAGGAGGAGGAGGAGGGAATGGAGGAGGAACGGAGGAGGACGGAGGGTAACGGAGGAGGAACGGGAGAACGGAGGAACGGAGGAGGAACGGAGGAGGAACGGAGGACGGAGACGGAGGAGGAGACGGAGGAGGAGGGGAGGAGAACGGAGGAGGAGGAGGAACGGAGGAGGAACGGAGGAGGAACGGAGGAGGAGCGGAGGAGGAACGGAGGAGGATCGGAGGAGGAACGGAGGAGGAACGGAGGAGGAACGGAGGAGGAACGGAGGAGGAACGGAGGGGGAACGGAGGAGGAACGGAGGAGGAACGGAGGAGGAACGGAGGAGGAACGGAGGAGGACCGGAGGAGGAGGAGG